GGGGGGGGGAGGAGCTAAGAGCGGGAGTCATGCGATTCTTACATGACAATGATGGTAGAATACAATGGCGTTAGTGAACCGAGAGAATTCTCCCGACTTCAGTCTTGAGTCAAAGGATGCCTTCTGGCAGTGGTTCACACCAGCATGAGGTTTCAGGAACAAAGAAGAAGAAAGTACCGTAAGACGAAATAATGAGCTATATGGCTTACTTCCAACGTATCACGTACGTCGTCATTCATCAAGTTCCCTGCCTGAAGCGAATTAATTACAGACGAGAAGTCCCGTGCTAGTATCCTGGCCATAACTTCATGGCACGCTAATGCCGCTGACAGGCAAACCCGGAGACCCAATATTTCGGTGATGACGCATCAGAACGAACTCAACTCAAGAAGTGGCTTGTAATAAAAGTTCTTGGCGTCACGAGACTCATTTAAAGACATTTCTCAAAGAATGGCTCAACCCGACGTGGTGAGAGAAACAGAGACACATGTGAGGCAGCGTGATGAAATCAGGCTCTCGTCAAAGTAATGAAATTCAAGAAAAGCATTTTCCGCCAGTTTGGCAATATTTATCGAATTTTTGTTTTTGTGCTCAACACCTTTTATGCCATTGTAAAACCACATTTCCATGTGAAGTTTATTGAGATACTTCGCTTAAAGGCCCAAAATAAGTAAATTTTCATTTTTCAAGGACTCTCAAGCTATTGAAGTTATCAAACTTTGGTGGCCATTTTCTCGTTAATGTTACCTCTGAAACCAGGAGACCCTCACCTTCTTTATTCACAAATATTTCAACTTTTATTCAAGATAGATGGGTATTTTTTAAAATAGAAAGCAAGGCAAATGAACACGCTTTTGGGTGATACCAATAACTCCACATGCCCAAATACTGCCATGACACAAATGTTGCCTGCTCGGAAATATACAGATAACTTTCTCTTTTATGTTTGTTTGAGTAAAAAGAAGCACATCGACGCAATAAAGGCTACTAAAAACCGAAAAATAAACAACACACAACAAGGTATATATATATATATATATAATATGTAATA